GCAACGCTCTGGGAGTAAGGAAATGGAGGGAAACCTTGCGCGTAATCAACTCAGCTCAAGGTCAGGACCTCTATCCTGTAATGATTCACTCGCCTGCCCATCTTCCCTGCTGCACTGAGAACTCCACAAGAGCAGAGGCTGTCTCTCAATCAGTCTATGCTCTAGCCTCCCGCTTAGTACTATCTGCCCTCCACACAGTTTATTGAATCTTAGAGACCACACCCACAAAGTTCTAAACATAATGACTAACCTAGGTCCCTGGGACATAATAAACACTCATTAGCTACCAAATACTTCATTTCTTAAGTTCCCTGAAGGTCCATTATTCAGTTTCAAAAAGACAAGTTAGAGACCAGTAATTTCTTGGAAGATTAAAGAAACTCCTTTTAAATAACGGGAGGAATGCTGGCTTCCTCCAGTAAAAGCAGATGCATTTAAATGCATTTAATTCAGAATCACAGCTGACTGCAACTTCCAAAGAAATGCCCGGCCAGTGTGGCTCAGTGGACTGAGGGTCCTCTCATGCACTGAGAGGTCCTGGTTTGATTCCAGATCAGGGCACATGCCAGGTTGCAGGCTTGATCCCCAGTAGGGGGTGTGCAGGAGGCAGCCCATTAATGTTTCTCTCTCCCTTCCTTTCTTTCTAAAAAATAAATAAATAAATATAAATCAATAAAAACATATTTAAAAAAAGAAAGAAAAAGAAATCACTCTTTGAAAACTCCAAGTTTTCATAAGGCATGTGTGACTTCCAGGAGGTAATGAGCTCAGCTTTGGGTCATGATTAATGACTTGTTTCCAAAAATTTTAGATTTTCCATGTCTGTCTCCACTTAGGAATCACTTCTGGCCCCTCTGTCAAAATGGCATAATTAACTGGGAAGCTTGGCTTCTTGTCACACTCAGAAAGTAACACCTGCCACCAGCTTCTTCCTCAAGAGGCTGGGCCAGCGTAGCCTGGTCCTAGGAGAACAGCACCTACTTCTGCTTTTGGCCTCAGCACCTGACTGGGTGACAAGAAGTAGCACTGAGGCTTGGTTTGAAAAGCCAAAGTGACAGCTCCAGGGCCCATCACTGGGGGTTTCAACAATGCTGAGGTTGAAGATGACTTCAAATTCCTCATACAAATGCCATCGTATGGCAGAGGGGGCAGGTGCCTGTGTACAATGGCTAACATTCTCTCTGGAAACCATACAGCAGCTAACCTGAGCATGTGTTTATGCACCAATGAAGGTCATTATGAGCTCTATCCTATTTCATCCTCATGGTACCCCTTTGAGGAGGTATGATTGTGGACCTCCGCCCCACACCCTTTACAGGAGAGAAGCAGGCTCTGTGAGGGAGGTGACCTGTCCGAGACGTCTTAGCGGTGAGGCGGTGAGGGAGAGCTCTTACTGCTACCCTCGCAGCTTCTCATTGAACCAGAAACTGTCTAAAGTAACAGGAACTGTGGACACCAACCAGGCCAGGGGTGGAAAAGGCAGGCCAAGGGAAAGGCAAGAGACCAGAGAGAGCAAAAGACTGGGCAAGGGAATGGCACAGATGGTAATAAATGAGAGAACACACACACCTAAAGGCATTCAAATTTAAATAAAAACCCAAACCACTCTGACTTCTGACTCTAGTTCATGCTTCCTCATTTCATAAGAGAGAGACTGAGATTCGGAAAGTAGATGGACAAGTCGGTACAGTGTGGTGGAGAGTTCAAGGGCTTCGGGAGAGCCAGTTCTCATGAGGAAATGCAGCTCTAGTACCTGTTAGCTGACAGGCCTTGGGCAAGTCACTTCACCTCTGTGCCTCCTTCATGTGCAAAATGAAAATAATCTCTGCTTCACATCGCTGTTGTGAAGATTAAAAGGAATCAATGCACAGGATGGGGCAAAAGTAGGTTTACAGCTGTGAGTATGTGAAACAGTTTATTCTTGTATTATTATTTATTAATTATTGCAGCACTGGCCAGGTAGCTCAGTTGGTTAGAGCACCCTCTCAGTACCCTGAGGTTGCAGGTTTGATCCCTTAGGTCAGGGCACATTGACGAATCAACCAATGAATGTGTGACTAAGTAATAACAAATCTATGTTTCTCGTCCATTTCCTCTAATTAAAAAAAAAAAAAAGAATAATATATATATACACACATGTGTGTATATGTATATGTATATGTATATGTATATGTATATGTATATGTATATGTATATGTATATGTATCTATACATATAGCGCCCTGGCCAGTTTGGCTCAGCGGTTAGAGCGTCAGCCTGCGGTCCGGAGACCCTGGGTTCGGTTCCTGCTAAGGGCACGTATCTTGGTTGCAGTTTGTTCCAGGGCCTGGTTGGGGTCGTGTGGGAGGCGGCCACTCGATGTGTTCCTTTTGTGTCAATGTCTCTCTCTCTCTTCCTCTCTCCCCCTCCCACTCTGTCTGAACAAAAATGGAAAAAAAGTCCTTGGGCGAAGATTAAAAAAAAAAATGCCAAGCAAGAACTTGGGACATAACAGTCTCTTCGACAACCCACCTCCTCTCCTAAAATGCCCTAAACTTCCTGTGGGGGCAGGTGGAATATATGAGGAAGAGCACACCGAACACAGTGTTGGCTCTCCCAGCTCAGAACAAGAAACTAAAGCCACCCTCATCTGGTTTCCGAAGGCCTGGACTGCGGGGTGGGAGGCATCCCACCACATGTCCACTCCCCTCCCCAGGCAGGACCACTGGACCAGGCAGGTACTTCCAGAGTATTACCTCCTCACCACGACCTTAGGAAGAGAGATGACTTTTTAAGTGATCCAGTCTTGAGACCCAGGGGGGCTGCAGAGGGGACCTGCCCATGGGGAGTTCCATGGCAGCAACCGTCCACCTGCTAAGGGCTGAGCTACTGGGGAAGACCACAGTTCCAGATGTGCCAAGGGGCTCTGAGAACTCTCCTGGCAACCCAGATCTTAATTCTAGCAAATAGTTTTAAAATGCCACATCTTCCTGAAGGTTAGGGTCTCTGATGGTTTTAAAGATAAAAATCCTGCCTGGCGGGTGTGGCTTAGTGGATTAAGAGATGCCCCTGGACTGAGAGGTCCTGGTTCGATTCCTGGTTGGGGCACATGCCTGGGGTTGTGGGTTCCATCCCCGGTAGGGGGAGTGCGGGAGAGGTAGGCAATCGATGTTTTTCTCTCACATCAATGTTTCTGTCTCTCTCTCTCTAAAAAAAAAGAATCAAAAACATATTTAAAAAAAAAAAAAAAGATAAAAATCCCTTAAATTACCAAGACCTGGAAGCTTGGAGACTCAAAATTGACAACTTCTTTTGCTTTTCTCTACGCTTTGGCTCTGGCCAGCCTTCCCAGCAGCATGGTGGCCGTGTCTAGGTGAGATGCAGGGGGAAGTAAGCAAATACAGGCATTTCCCCTCCTTTTCTCTCTCTTTTGCTAAGCTAGGAACTAGACTGGTGGGCTTTAAGTTAAATTTTAGCATGCTGTATCTCCTCTGTACCTCTGGGTCAGCTTCCCACCAGGCAGTGGGGTTCAGAGGTGGATAAGGCAGACTCACAGACAGGGTGTATACGGTCTAGCAGAAACAGAGGGACCTGAAGTTATGTCAGTACTTCCATAAACACAATTCAGGTCAACATGCGAAAAGAGTTCCGGACACTGTAAAACATACAGTGGAGACTTACCCTCAGTCAGTGGAGTCAGGGACTGATACTGACCACCTCATGTCATAGAAAAGAATGAGCATAACATGGAGGCTGATACTTGGGGTTGCTCAATAATGTTCATTCTTTTTTCTCCTCCCCCTCCACGGTGTGTGCACGCATGCGCACACACACGTGTCATCACACTGAAACTTTCTTTCTCCAGGAACACCCAACCTGACTAAACCATAAAAACTCCAGTAATTTAATGTTGCCTGTTTTATCTCCTCTTTTAATTCTCCTGGAGGCATCCGTTTGCAGGCATTCTGGGATACTGGACACCAAAGGCACTTTGCTTCTCTAGCCCTAAGGGTTCTCCTCAAAGGGGGAAGAAATATTGATGGTTCATTTCAAGCTGAATTTGGAACTATAGTGATCAGGCAGATTCGCCCCTCATTTACATACAAATGAGGAAACTGAAGCCCAGAGAATGTGAAACACTTGCCCAGGGTCACACAGTTCCCTTGGGTGGTCCTTCTATTATATGGTGACTTTTTTGTTTGTTGTGGTCTCTTTAAATGTGGTGCAACTACTTCTACCTGCAAGCAGGGGAGTGGGTGACGCACAGCTACAAGGCATGTCTCTCAAGCCCCTTGAGAACCCTCCATTCAGGCACCCACTGGGTTCAGAGTGGCTTCGTAGGGTTAAAACCCTGAAAACAGACCAGACGAATAAAATGCCCATGGGCTTACATGTTCTGTTTACTTTCTAGGCATAAACAGCAAATTTCTAAAACACAGCAATAAGAAGATCACAAAGCCGAAGTTCAAGATTTCCAATGCTTCTTTCCATCTTGGAGTTCTCCACACAGCCACGGTAGCACCGGGGTGTACGTGATGAAACTGAATCACAGCTGTATCTTAAATTTAAAATATCAATCTTATGTCTAAGGGTAAGTCTCCACTATATGAAGGAAAGACGGTAGGGAACTTTCACTTTGAGAGACATTTCTCTCTGGAGTGTTTAAAATGTTTGTACCACCTTTGTAATCAGAGAGAAGCATATACAGGTTTTACAAACACCAATGTCTAAGGGAGGATTTCTTCACCTATATTTGGCAAGAGGAGCTGCTTTTAAAGCTCTAGATACTCTGTCAAAGTTCTTAGGTTAAAAAAAAAAAAAAAAGTGAAAGAGCATTTGAAAGGAGCCCATTTGTGAGACCTGAGGCTCAGACTCTAGCCCTAAGCAGTTTCAAACTAAGCCATAATTTTCAGAGCAATAACGTATCATAATATAAAAACAGACACTTTGTGACCAACAAAAGCAAGCTCTCCAAAAAGCTCTGCCTCTCCCTAGGAGTGGGAGAATGAAGTTCTACTTACAAGAGCAAAGAGTTTCTTCAAAGTCCAGGGGTCGTCAGTCAGAAGTGAAGGTAAAATTTAAGAAACCAGGATTCAAAACGCCTCCCTTTTGAGGGTAAATCAGATTAGCAGACCAGGCAGGATTCTCTCATACCCCTTCTCTCTCCCTCTCTCAGTGTCTCCTAAATGAAATGCACTTCGAGGTTTTAGTGGGTGTTTCCCACGCCTCTGGCCAAGAAAGTCCCCATTTGTTGTAATCCAATGCTCAGCCTGATGATGTCAACCACTCAGCTCCCTTGCTCAGTTTCCACCTCTCCGTCCACAAGAGAGATCCATTTCCTTTGGACAATGAGCCAGGGGGCTGTAACCGCATCCCGAGCCGTCGGCACATTTGCCTAACATCCTTCCTTCAATTTTCAACACTGTAGCCTTACTGACAACAGGCTTCCTATCCACTGACTGGGCCAGGGCTCCCGGCATAAATCCCTCTGCCTCGCAGTCACTGCCAACTGTGGGCTGTCTAGTTTGCTTTGCAGTTTTAATTCACTTCTTTGGTGTATGATACACTTGGCTAAGTGGAGATCTGCTTCCCCACCCCACTCCACCCCACCCCGCCCCACCCCGCCCCACTTCACCCCACCCCGCCCCACCCCACCCCACCCCGCCCCACTCCACCCCACCCCGCCCCACTCCACCCCACCCCACCCCACCCCTCCTCCATTTCTTTTTTCACGCTCAGTTTTCCAAGCTGTTTCATTTCTCCATTAAGTTTTCTGGGTACATACTGGGCACAGTGCGAGCGAGAGCTTGTCCTTCACTTAGGGGAAATGACACATGCCCACATGAAAGGCTGTAACCTGGGGAACTGGATTCCAATCTTGGTCCTGTACCTGAAAGAATGGCCTTAAGCAAGTCACCCCCCCTCTCTGAACGGCAGTTTTCCCATCAATAAAATAATGGCTTTGATGTCTTCCCCTTCTGCAATTCAGTGGCTGAGGAGATTAACAAATGCAACATAAGGAATCTTACTACAAACTGACTGACTACATGCTTGAGGGAGGGAAGAGCCCAGGAAGGGTCACAGGACACTGCTCAAGAGGTCAGGCCTAGCTCCTTCGACCCCCTTTATTTTGGAGCTGAACTGTTTCTCTGGGAGAAAACCCGAAAGAATTCACTAACTAAGCCCTGGGGGACACTGAAAGAGGCAGCATTAAACTGCTAGATAAGATAAAGAAGCAAGAGAATGTAACTGTCCTTAGGGACTAAGAGCAGTGGTTCCGAGAGAGAATAATAATCACTTGCATATGTAGAGTGCTTGATGGGGAAGACACAAACCTCTCTACTTCTGTGTACAATAGAAGGTGATGTGACATGTATAGTGACTATGAGCATCAATTTAGGAGCCAGAGATGTGGATATGAGTCCTGTGTGACTTAACTTCTCTGAACTTCAGGTTTTTTTTAAAAAAACAAAAACAGCCCTGGCCAGTTTGGCTCAGCGGTTAGAGCGTCCGCCTGCGGTCCGGAGAGACCCGGGTTCGGTTCCCGCTAAGGGCACGTACCTCGGTTGCAGTTTGTCCCCGGCCCTGGTTGGTCGTGGGGGTGGCGGCCACTCGATGTGTCCCTTTCACATCGATGTTTCCCTCTCTCTCTCTTCCTCTCTCTCCCTTCCACTCTGTCTGTACAAGAAATGGAAAAATGTCCTCGGGTGAGGATTAAAAAAAAAAATAAATAAATAAAATGAAAATGAATCTCACTAGTAAAAAAAAAAAAAAAAAAAAAAAAACAAAAACAAAAACCGGAAAATGAAATGCTAGGAGCTCCATTTTAAGACTGTGACAATTAAGTAACATGCCAGGGAATTATAAGTATTTGACACATACTAAGTGTTGAAGGATGGTAGCTCTCTCATTGTTATAGTACATAATCTCATTTGATTCTCATTTTATTAGAATTAAGTACCCAAGGGCTACATTATTAATCTCCTTTTCCTGAATAGGAAAATGAAACACAGAGAAGTTAAGTAACATGCCTAAGGTCACACAGCTCAAGATGAAAGGGCCAGACTTGGCAAATGAGTCTTAATTAGGCCAGCGCACGTGCCATGCACATGCCAATGCTACGTCTCAAAATGGTTATTTCACTAAGCCTGGCCCTTAAAAATGGGATCATCTGCTCTTAAGAAAAATGAGGTAAGCCTTGGCCAGTTTGGCTCAGTGATTGGAACGTCGGCCCTTGGACCAAAGAATCATGGGTTTGATTCCAGTCAAGGGCATGTATCTCGGTGTGGTTCAATCCCCGGCCCTGGTCGGGGTCATGCGGGAGCCGACTAGTTGATGTCTGTCTGTCTCTGTCTCTCTCTCTCTGTCCGTCTCTCTCTCTCCTCCCATTCTATCTAAAGATAAATGGGAAAATGTCCTTGAGTGAGGATTTTTAAAAAAGAAAGCAAGCCCTGGCCAGTTTGGTTCAGTGGTTGGAGCACTGGCCTGTGGACCAGAGAGTCCCGGGTTCAGTTCCCACTAGGGGCACATATCAAAAAAAATAAAATAAATAAAAAAGAAAGAAAAATCAGGTAAGCTTATTAAAGCAAATGGGCAAGGGGTGGGAGGGAGAGTTTCCCTGGGTTCAGCCAGGCCAGGGATGGGAAGAGCTAGTCAATCTGTTGCTTAAAGAAAATATTTGGGGCCACTAGGTAAGAGGTGGTGCTTACTTGTTTTACTACCAAAATACTGTGTGGCCTGAAAAAAGTCTGGGCTTCAATCACCTCTACCCCAAAAAGGCAAATCTGACTTGTCTTAAAGCTACTTGGATGGGAAGTTGGGGTTGGAACTTTATTGAGAGAAAGGAAGCCATTTATGAGGGGCAAGGGGGGTAAGGCTGTGGTAGTTTGTAACTTAACCAGAATTTTAATTAGTTCTCAGAAAATTTTGATGCTCGTCAAGAAAGGTGGGGCAAAAGGAGGTTTACAGTTGTTCGTATGAAGAATACAATAATACATACATAATAATACAGGAATAAACTATTTCGTGTACTCACAACTGTAAACCTCCTCTTGCCCCACGCTGTATGAGGAGGCAGTCTGCCCACCTGAAGGCTTTCCCAGAAGCTGGTATGGGGCTGCAGTGGAACGAAACATCAGCCTGGTAACGCACGGAGAACAGCAGTTAACGGCTCAGACCTGGGTTCCCTGTTCCGAGCTGCGTATGACTTTGACCTAGCTGTGTATGTGCCTTGGTCTCCCAATGTAAAACAATAATTAAAAATGGCATTTATCCTGCAAGGTTCTTATGAGAATAAGTGCCTGGCACATACTATGAGTTGAAAAACATTTGCAAAAATAAGCTGTAGCATCGTAATAGAAAAGACATTATTTTCTAATTCTGACTCAGTTTCACCATCTTCTGCCCTGAGGATGATGTGACAATGAATGAATACGTCAAGCGTGTTGGGAAGCCAGACAAACAGCCCAGTATTTCTCCAGAACTCCAGGATGAATAAGGAACAATAAGCCTGCCGAGAGCTGTTGGGAGTGCTCGCAGCAGCAACACTCAGCTTGGAGGGCCTGGACGCTGGGCCGCTATCTGGCTGTGCCTTTATTCCAGAAGCCCCAGTGGCGTCAGGAAACGAGGCTGGGATCTTGACAGGTCAGTTTACTGACATCACCCTCAGTGCTTTGAAACATGTTTTGTTACTTGAACAAAAATAATAGTAAGGAGCCCATTCATAAAAACAAAGACACAGTTTTCTTCTACAACATGTATTTTGGAACACTTGCCTTACAGACTAACTATATATACATCTGTGACAATCCATGAAGAGAGGACCGTGACAACACCAGCACACTCATTTTGTCTTCTGACAATGGCAGTTGTACTTTGTCGATTGGGGCCATGCTTGGTGCTGAGCATTCTATAAATACCACTTTATGTCATCCTTACAATAATCAGGTGCATGAGGTACTATTACTATTCTCATCTTACAAATGTGGAAACTGACATGTGCAGACACTGAGCAATCTACAAAGGTTCACTGGGATAAGTGACAGAACCCATTCTTCAAGCCAGGCTGTCTGGGGCCAGGCCTGTATTTATTTTTAAGTCCCTGACTCTAATGCCTCTTAAAGGGCTTCCCTGCAGGAAACTTGGCTGTTCTTCAGAGCCAGCACTATCGGCTCCATTTGAGGATAAAGGAAACTTAGGCTGCTGCATAGTGCAGAGCTGGCCTGAAGGGCTCAGACAGCCCCTTTGCCACAAAGCTGCCCTTAATTCTCACCCCCTCACCCCTAGTCTGGAAGGGGTCTCTCCCTCCTCTGAACTTCCTTAGTACTCTATTTCTCTCTTAAGAAACTTTTCTTTTTCTCTTTTGAGGCATATTTATTTCTGGGCAGATCCTATTCCTCTGCTAGAATTTGAGTTTCATAAAGAAAAGATCCATGTCTAATTCATGAGCATTTTGTACATAGTATGAGACACTTATTAAAATAAAACATCCATAAACAACAAAAACAAAAACTTTTATTGATGTTTACCATGTGCCAGATAATACTCTAACATAATCATAATTGCTTATTATAAAAAAAAATAGCAAAATATAGAACAGGAAAAAAAAGGGTGGAAAATCATCACCATCATCCTATCACCCAGAAATAACCAGTTATCCTTCTGGGGTACAGAACACAGAAAGAATCACACCTAAACTCAAGACAATGTTTTTAAATCACTTAAGTGATTCCTGGGGGGAGAAGTCAACCCCACAAAAGGTGACAAAGAAATGTTCAATTTGTTTGTTCGTCAGGGAGTACACTTGGTTGTTTTTATACAGGGTTTGCTGTTCCGAGGCTCCACCTCCTCGTCCCATCAGACACTGCTGATGGAGAGCTGGCGGAAGGGAAGCATCTGGAAAATGAAGGGACTTCCGGTCAGGACGGCGGCGTAGGTAAGCGCGGTATCACCTCCTCCCACAACCACATCAAAATTACAACGAAACTACAGAACAACTATCATTCAGAACCGCCTGAAATCGAGCTGAATGAAGTCCCACAACTACAGAATGAAAGAAGCCACATC